GCGTGGGCTGGTCCATGAGGTCACGAAGAGTCGGAGACGACTGAACCAATGAACAACAACATACTGCCATATAATCTGGACTAAGAAGGGGCCTTAGTCTCTAGAATCTTACTTGTTTAAAACCCTTCAGCTGCTTCGTATCTTCAAGCACAGTCAAAAAGAGTTATCTCAACATCAACAAAATCATCAGGTTACACATCCTGGGTTTAATAGGTAACAACTGGGTTTGTTTCATTAGATGACTTCTTTTCACTCTTCTTCTGCACACTGTTTATACTTGAGTGAGCAAAGTTTATACTTGAGTGAGCAAAGCCCTCCTTATTCTTTCTGCTCTTATCTAAATGATACCAGATAAAGCAGATTTGAAAAACAGGTTTTGCTTTAGAAATGGGGCGTTCCTGGATTATGAAAATGTCAGCTGTCAGTGCAGAATAGGCAAATGTTTGTTTTCACTTTGTCCTGAGTTTCCTTCTAAGAACTGCACCACAAAAGTGATTCAAACATTTTCGGGGCCGTCTTTTAGCTAACAAGTGATGGGACTTTCTTCTTTGGAGATTTACAACCAGCTTTCTGTCTCGACATAAGCCTTAGGGAAAACATGGAGGCATCACATTTCAAGAGGTACAAGAGGTAATGCTCTTTATTTTGGAGTGGTTGATTAAGTTTGGTTCCTTGATTTGGCTTTAGCTGCACAAGGTGTGAAGGGTGTTTAATTATAAAAATCAGTAGTACCCAGTACAAATCAAGCCAAATCTACTACTTCTTCACTTTCAACTCAGAACAATTAGTACCTTAAGCATACAGATGGATTATCTGATTCATCCTAGGAGATTGCTGGGAGAAACAAAGGGTAGTTGTTGGTGGTGGAAATAACTTTATAGCACATTTAAAGGTTAAAACATTATCTCAAGGCAATTAGGAGATTTAAAAGGAAACAATGAAATGTTCAGATGTAAATACCGTTTATGAAAATGTCAGCATTCAAATTCAATTTCACTCTGAATAAAATGAGGAAACTCAAAAGATGAAGTAAAAAGGTTGGGCATGATCTTGGGTGTTGATTTAATTCTTTATCATAAGTAAAAATATGAAGTTTTGGTGGTCTTGATTCTATAAGAGATTGATGAGCTTAAATGTGCCGTGGTCAGATGCAAAAGGGAACTGGGGACCTGTGCATTAATAATTGTAAGGAATAAGGGATTTCAATACAGAAATATAAATAACTGTACCTGCAGAAATTTTCTCTGTCCCACAAGTATTTAAAGTACAAGTGCCTTGTTCTTTTTTGTACCTGGCTGCATTACTGGAACAGTTCAAAATAATGATGCTACTTTAGACAGTAATACAGGCCGTCTCCGAGTTACAAACATCTGACTTACAAATGACTCATAGTTAATAACGGGGATGAGACAACAGGAAGTGAGGGAAATCTACCCCTCAGAAGGGAAATTCACTCCTGAAAGAGTTATCATAGGGAAAAGGTGTCTCAACGGAAGCTTTAGCACAGCTGGTAAATCATCAGCAACTATAAGATCTATCAACTGAAAGGTTACAAGTTCAAAGCCCAGGGTTGGCATGAGCGGCCAACCATCAGCCCTGCTCACTGTTTACCTAAGCAGTTCGAAAGCAGCTTTAGTTGTAATTAGAGAAATTAGGTACTGCTTAAAGCAGGGGAGGTGTCTTACAGTGCCATAAAAAAAAAGAATATCAGAAAATGCTGGAATGAGGAAATCCTGACGACTCTTCGTCATAGAGGATGGAGCAACAGCACCCCCTGTGGACTCAAGCCCAACCGTCCATGGCATCGAAACAACACCTCCTACTGTGCTGTGTGTCTGTGTACTGTCTATATAAACAGCACTGAATGTTTGCCGCATATGTGTACTTGTGATCCGCCCTAAGTCTCCTTCAGGGTGAGAAGGGCAGAATGTAAATAAAGTATTATTATTATTATTATTATTATTATTATTATTATTATTACTTATCACCAATCCTGTTTCCACAAAAAGCCAATTTTTTCAAAATCCAATTATCACAGGGACAGAAAGTGAGGTGAAATCTTCTGAACAGGGCCACAGACAGCAAAACACCACAGGGATGTAAACCTTTCCCTATGCTATTCAAATCATTTTAAGTGGAGTCAAGTTACACTTTAAAAATATTCCTGTTTTGACTTACATACAAATTCAACTTAAGAACAAACCTACAGAACCTATTTTATTCATAACTTGGGAACTGTTTGTAAGAGCATATTCTTTGTCAAAGTAGCATCTTAAAAGGTTGCAATGAGTAATGATGATGAGTCTTTCTAAAATGAATCTTTACAAGTTAGCTTCACAATTCAAGTATTCATAGAATTGTCCTTTGCTGCTTGATATGCATTTATTTGAGAGTAAGCCTAGTTGGAAGCAGCTAGTTCCAAGGAAAATGTGATGATTTGATGGGATGTTGCTGCCATGTTCACTTCATGGAATGGATGGCTCTGGTTAGAAAGCAAAATGGTCAAACAAGGTGATAATCTTTTGCATCTTATAAGGAGAATGGCTATCTTTGGTGTTGTATTTGCTTTCCTGTGATATATTTCAGTGGGATGGCTTTGTTTCCCTTTGCTTTGAGTTTAATCATCTAAAATAATCTGAAGTTGTTAATAATATTCAGGTATAGAAGGCAATGAGAACCAGTGTGATGAGTAGCCTGAGCATTCAAATATGACTACATCCACTCAGCCATGGAAATTTACGGGTGACTTTAAGGGTGAAATGTTGGCACAAATGTTACAGCAAATCAAGATGCAGAAAATATTGGTTGATATCACAGATTGAGCATCCCTTATCTGAAATCCCAGAATTTAATGAAGGTTCTGGAACACAAACAAAGTTTATAGAGTGGGAACACTACTTTTGAAGGCAGTACTACACAATCAAACATGAGCACACTTTCAAGCCAGGAATAGAACTTATTACCACATTTTAGAGGCTGCCTGGCCATCTGTGCAAGCAGGTTTTGTGGTATACTTATTGCATGGAACAACAGGGTGATGTGTCTGGGTTATGCATGAACCTCATTGCTTTTATCCAAAAAAAACATGGGGAAAGTTGATTACATGGCAAAATCTTTGTTTGTGTGTCACAAACTTTATTACATGTGTGGAGGACAAAGTTTCTCTTGCCAGGATAAAAATTTTTGTCGTCTAGTCAACTGTTGTCATGCTTTTAGGATAGAACTGATCAGGAACTGACGTGTATAACCCAGGAACAAACCAACATAAAAAATCCCGTATTTTTTGAGTGTAGGGACATACAGAGATTCAAATATCCGCATTTGAAGCCAGAACCAGGATATTCCTGCAAGTGAAAACCTTGCCTTTTTTTGGCCTTTGTAATGATTGCTCCCATGTTTTCAGGAGATGTTATTTGGCCACTCTCCATTTTGAATTGGGAGCTCCTGGGGTAAAGGTACTGTGTGAGTTGGCCCTAAGTCTTTCGTTCCCTGCTCCCCCAATACACCTATGGCTGTGGTTCCCTGGACTAATGTTTTTAGCCCATTTTTTCCCTAATGGCAGGATTGCATTAAAACTTATTTTACATTCTTCAGTATAAGATATGCCGTGTAATAGCTGGTCTCCTCTAAATGTTGTTCTTGGTAATCTTGTCCAAATTAACAATGGATGAAACAGTTACTGAACTCAGTGGCATTTCTTGAAGATATACCTATACTTGGCCCTAAGCACCTGCTGGGATTTGGTTCTAAGAGCCTCCAGGGATACCAAAATCCACGGAAGTGAAAGTTCCAATACTCTATATACAGTGGAATAATAAAATTATGCCCCTTATATAAAATTTTAATCTCAATGCTTGCTTTTTGATTTTTGGTTTTAATAATTTGAAACCATAGGTGGTTGAATAGCATGATTGAATAACCTGGGATGCAGAGCCAAGCTTTTAAAGAGCCCAGAAAACCCTGGGGACAAGCAGAGAAAACTGCTAGGCTAAGTTTCTCCCACATTTAAACTGTTGAAATCTCAAGTCTTTTCCCTTATGGAATATGAAGTGATATAGTCTTATCAAAATGAGCTACAATGCCATTCTCACACATTCTGATATTTAATTATGAGTGGATAAGCAGGAAAGGCTGAAAAGCCACATGGATCTATCCAGGCCCATAGCCAGGATTTTGATTCGGGGTGGTGGTGGTGGTGTGAGGATCTACCCTAGCAAATCTTTTGTATCATTATCCCAATAGCCCCATGCGTATGGGATATATTAAGCATGGTGATCAGATCATGATATGAATAAACATAACAGTTTAAATAATGTACCAGTAAGGCCTTCTCGTGGACCACCCTGAGAATTTCGGGGGGGGGGGGCTGAAGCCCCTCAACCCCCCGGCTACATGCCTGGATCTATCCAAATATCAGGTTAAAAGTAATGCATTTCCCACCGAGACTGATGGGAAGGCCATACCTAGAGGAAAAGACATTTACAAGGGGAATTCTTCCACTGGATTTTGTGCAGTCTCTCCACACAACTTCTTCAAGCTGTGACTTTCTTCAGAATCAAGGGCTGGAGTGCAGCCCAGTTCAAATGATCCCTGGAAGCCTTCTCAATGACAAATCACATCTGGGAAGTATTCAAAACTTTTCATTTAATATAGGATTCTGTGGACATATGCACACCAATGCACGGTTCTACAGCAATACCTGTCTTAAACTAAGATTACAAGTATTCCAAATTACAATTTTCTTTGAGGGTCTCTCTGATAAACTATCACGAAGCCCTGCTCTTTGCAGGTTCATGCTTGCCAGCTCTCGAAAGTTCTTCAAGCAGCCTGCATTCAGAATATCAAGTTGTGTGTCCTTCATTGCTTGCTGTTGCTTTGCAATGCAAATTTGGAGGGCTTTGTACCAGGCAGCACTATAACCATGGCAACCAAAAAAGGGACGAGGGGTAAGTTTGCATTACTTCCTTAGTGGTGCATAACCCTTCCCCAAAAGGCCAAACTGCTTTATAGGGACATCAGTGTCTTGCTCTGGAATGAAAGCAGAGAGGAGTTCCTGTTTTCCAATCTGCTTCAATTCAGCCCCCCCTCTCTGATTTTCTCCAACACAGTTTCCCCAACTCTCCACGATTCAAACTTTGACTGACTTCTTGTCTTACCCATCCTTTTGCAACGAGGGCAAGGAAACGAGCATCCAACCAATCATCCAGCCTGACTGTCAACCTAAACACAGTGTTTGGCTAAAAGCCCTTTTTGGCCTTTTATGGAAGGGCTTTTAATTCGATGGGATTTGGTAAGACAGGCCAGAGACACAAGTTCCTGTACCTTGGCATTTTGGCCCAGGGATTTGTGGAAAAACACAAGTCCCAAGGCGCCAGACTAGCAAGGATTGTCCAGTTGTCCATCCCCCGCAGCTCCAGAAGACAACACGGACTGGACTGAGAAATCTTCTAAGGACCTTATTCTGCCTTGGTAAATTTTGTGATAATTCGTCTTCATATTCTTAATGCTTTTGCTAACATTTGCCAAGACTTTGCTTCTGTTCATTCTTAGATCTACTTTAAAGATATGCTTTTTACAGCAAGAGCAGTAAAATCTCATGGTTGAATTGTGTTGTTCATGGCGGTGTTTCTTTACAGGCTGTTACATTTATAGGGAAGTAATCTTTTTGATTTGATGCAATGGAACACTATTTCTCTGAAAAGGTAGATGAAATGGTTTGGTTTGTGTAAATCTTTTGGCTATACAAAAATGTTGTTGTTTTCATTGCTAGAATCAATAGCCACTGCTTTCAGAAGGCACTTACTTTGGCACTAGGCCAGAGAGAGAAAATTATGAAATATCAAGATATACAAATTGAGATTTAGCATCTCTAGCCAAAGCAAATAAAATAAATTACTACATGTAATGCTCTAGTCCCAATTCCAAATTAATTGACAAAATATCTGAATGAGATTGCCACAGATAGGATCATAAAAGGACAGTTACAAAATGTGGCACTTCTTGGAACATGTTGCATTATCTAAGGATGTTTCACTGATTCCTAGATTCTTGGGCAGGAACAGAATCATTGATGGTCCAGAATTTCAGGAAGTGACACCTGGTAAATTAGGGTCATGTCTACATTGTAAAATTAGTGCAGTTTGACACATTTTTGGTGTTAAGCTCCCAGGATTTATATCTTAGGGACCGCCTTATTCCTTTTCTCCATCAGTGGTTACCTCGATCCACCCAGGAAAATCTTCTATACATACCGGGCCCTAGGGAGGTACACCTGGAAGCTACAGGGCATAGAGCTTTTTCGATCTATGCTCCAATTCTGTGGAACTCATTGCCTCCATATGTTAGAGCAATGTCGGAGTTGCAACCTTTTGTAAAAGCACTCAAAACTTGGCTGTTTGGTTGTGTATTTAAGTAATCAGATCACGTTTGCCAAATAGTCACTGCTAAAGGTTTTATGTTGAATGTTTTATATTGTGAAATGCTATTTTAAATTGTAAGTCGCTCGGAGCACCTTGGTGGAAAGCGATTAATTAAGAAATAAAGTGAAGTGAAGTGAACCATCCCAGCTACTTGATGTCAAACTTCATACATTCTATAGTGTAGTTATAACCTATGACAGTGGTTCTCAACCTTGTGGATTCCCAGGTATTTTGGCCTACAACTCCCCAAAATCCCAGCCAGCTGTTAGGATTTCGGGGAGTTGAAGGTCAAAACATCTGGGAATCCACAAGTTGAGAACCACTACCCTATGAAATGGAGATACAGTTGTTGGTGGTAGTGATGACAGCAGATACTGGTTTAAACCCTTTCTTTCTTTCTTTCTTTCTTTCTTTCTTTCTTTCTTTCTTTCTTTCTTTCTTTGAGAAGTAGAGATAGTTGTTTTATTGTATATCCTCTAGTTTTGAACTCAAATTCAAGCTTTGTCTTCAAGTCAGATGTGGATCTATCTATGATTCCTGATTTAAGAGGGCGTGCTTTCCAAAAAGAGAGAGAGAGAGATGATTTTTAAATACCTTCTTATGTTGGGTGTGCCCTAATCTGTTAAATGGCTAAAAATAGAATTCTGTCACATGATAAAGAAACTGGCTTAAAGAAATGGGGCATCACCATTAGAAGGGTAGTTGTGGACGCTCAGATACGCCCCTTGTTTGCTTCCAGGGTTCCTTTTCGCCATGCTCCATCCGGTCCCCGTGTGAACTCCACAATTAGCTCCCCGGTTAGGGCCTCCCCCTCCCCTGGTTCATACCATTTTGAGACCCCATCTGCCCCGGTCGCCCCCACTCAACCAGCCACACTCCTCCGCTCGAGAACACTTCCCTTGTTCAGCCCACTCAGCTCCCTTGATGTTTCGCTATCTACCTCAACATCAGAAACACCCCCACCTAACGCCCAAGGGAAATTATTCCCCAGCCCGACTTCTTCTTCTGAGAGCTGACTAGTCATAGATTCCAGCCATGTGGGGGGGGGGAGGGTTCTGGAGGAAGGGGGTGCCATCCAAGTTGTGTGGGGGAGGAGAATAGCGGGTCACCATCATCCCAGGGAGAAGCGCAACAGAGTTCTTGCGACCCTGGAGAAGGTAGGTAGTGGTAGGCTCCATGGCAGCCCCCTTGGTCTTAAGGTCCTGCTGATCAATGCCAGATCCGTTAATGGTAAGACCGCGGCCATCCAGGACTTGATCCTGGATGAGGGGGCGGATCTGGCATGCATCACCGAGACCTGGTTGGATGAGCTGGGGGGAGTAAATCTCACCCAGTTATGTCCACCAGGTTTCGGAGTGCATCAGCAGGCCAGACAAGGGGGGCGGGGAGGAGGGGTCGCAGTAGTCTTTCGGCAATCCACCGCCGTGATCAGATGCGCTGTTCCGCAGGCTTCCGGGTTTGAATGTGTCCATCTGAAGGTGGGGAGCCGTGACAGTGTGGGGTTCCTGCTGGTGTACCGCCCACTCCGCGACCCAGCAGCTTCCCTGTCTGAGCTAGCGAAGGTGGTCTCTAATTCGGCCTTGGTTTCCCAGCGCCTTGTGGTGCTGGGAGATTTTAACATCCATGCCGAGACCACCCTATCTGGTGCAGCTCAGGACTTTATGGCCACCATGACGACCATAGGACTGTCACAAATAATATCTGGTCCCACTCATCAAGCTGGACATACTCTTGACCTTGTTTTCGTGGCGGACAACGAAATGATTAGAGTGGAAGATCAAAACATCCTTCCTGTGTCATGGTCTGATCATTATCTGATCAGTTTTAGACTTGCTGCGACCCTTAACCTCCGCAGGGGTGGAGGACAGATTAAAATGGTCCGCCCTAGGAGACTGATGGATCCGGATGGATTCCTGAGGAATCTTGGGGTTCTTCCTACCTTGGAGCCTGTCGATTCTATTGACGCCTTGGTAACTCTCTATAATGGGGAGATGTCCAGGGCGATAGATACGATCGCACCCGAACGCCCCATCTCGTTGTGTCGTGACAGGCCATCTCCCTGGTTCACCGGGGAGCTGACTGTGATGAAGCATACGAGAAGGGGGCTAGAGCGCAAATGGAGGAAATCTCGGGAACGTGTCTGATCGAGCACGGGCTAAAGCCTCTCTTAAGGCATACTCCGTGGCTATACGGGTGGCCAGGAAATCATTCACGACCACCCGTATAGCGTCTGCAGCAAATAGATCATCGGAGCTGTTTCGGGTCGTGGGGGAACTCCTCCACCCACCTGTGGTGGAGGAGGTCACTGATGACCCAGCAGCTCGGTGTCGCGATTTCGCACACCATTTTGCAGGTAAAGTCGCCCAGATACGCCTTGAGCTCGACTCCAACTTCATCGCAGTGCCAGAAGAGGTGACAGAGGCATCTGCTTGTCCAACTTTGTGGGATTCTTTTAGGCTTGTTCTTCCTGAAATCGTGGAAGAGATTCTTGGGGCTGTGAGGGCGACCACCTCATCTCTAGACCCGTGCCCATCTTGGCTCATTAAATCAGCCAGGGAGGGGTTGGTTGATTGGTTTGTGTTGATTATCAATGCATCGTTGGAGCAAGGGATTTTTCCATCTAACCTGAAACAGGCTGTGGTTCGTCCACTTCTCAAAAAAGCTTCCCTTGACTCCACGGTGCTGAGTAATTACAGGCCAATCTCCAACCTCCCTTTTTTGGGTAAGGTGCTGGAGCGGGTGGTCGCCTCCCAGCTCCAGAGCTTCTTAGATGATACCAACTACCTAGATCAGTCACAGTCTGGTTTCAGGCCTGGTCATGGCACCGAGACGGCCTTGGTCGCCTTGGTGGATGACCTCCGCAGAGAGCTGGACAGGGGGAGTGTGACTCTGTTGGTTCTCTTGGACATCTCAGCGGCTTTCGATACCATCGATCATGGTATCCTTCTGGGTCGTCTCTCTGGGATGGGCCTCGGGGGCGTGGTTCTGTCGTGGCTCCGGTCCTTCCTGGAGGGACGAACCCAGATGGTGAAGCTGGGAGACGCCTGCTCAGACCCCTGGCCTTTGACCTGTGGGGTCCCGCAAGGCTCTATTTTGTCGCCCATGCTTTTCAACATCTACATGAAACCACTGGGAGAGGTCATCCGGAGTTTTGGAGTTGGGTGCCATCTTTATGCGGATGACACACAACTCTACTACTCCTTTCCACCTAACTCCAAGGAGGCCTCTTGGGTGCTGGACGAGTGCCTGGCCGCTGTGTCGATCTGGATGAGGAGGAACAAGCTGAAGATCAATCCTGACAAGACAGAGGTCCTCCTGGTCGATCGTAAACCGGATCGGGGTATAGGGTGGCTACCTGTGCTGGATGGGGTTACACTCCCCCTGAAGTCACAGGTCCGCAGTCTGGGTGTCCTCTTGGATTCGTCGCTCACACTTGAGGCTCAGGTGTCGGCGGTATCCGGGAGGGCCTTTGCGCAATTGAGACTTGTGCGCTAGCTGCGTCCGTACCTCGCGAAGGCTGATCTGGCCAGGGTGGTCCATGCCTTGGTCACCTCTAGAATGGATTACTGCAATGCGCTCTACGTGGGGCTGCCCTTGAAGACGGCTCGGAAACTTCAATTGGTCCAGCGGGCAGCAGCCAGGATGCTAACCGGGGCTCATTATCAAGAGAGGTCTACCCTTCTGTTTAAGGAGCTCCACTGGCTGCCATTTATTTTCCGAGCCCAATTCAAGGTGCAGGTGCTCACCTACAAAGCCCTGAACGGTTTGGGACCACCCTACCTGCGTGACCGCATCTCCATCTACGAACCCACACGCTCACTCCGGTCATCTGGGGAGGCCCTGCTCGTGATCCCACCCACGTCGCAAGTGCGCTTGGTGGGGACACGGGACAGGGCCTTTTCTGTGGCGGCCCCCCAACTTTGGAATGCCCTTCCAAAAGATCTTCGACAGGCCCCTACTTTAGCAGCTTTCAGAAAGAACCTAAAAACTTGGCTGTTCCGATGTGCCTTCTCAGATTAGGAACCCCCCATCCCAAGTCCTAGAAGCACT